TATATTGCAATCAACTTCACAATCTGTGCTATACTGCTGGACCCTACACCGCACTGACGAATAAATAAATTCTACACATAACAGAAATTAAAAACTAAATATGAAAGTCAAAGATCATTTCTTTGAAGACAAAGCTTAAAACGTTATAATAGCAATAATTTGACTGTATTGACGTATGGTTCAGAGATATGGAAAACAAAACAAACCAATTCAACGAAAATTAAAAGGCTTCCAAACAAAAACGTTTACAAACAATTCTACTTTAAAAAATGGAACTAATTTATTACCAATAATGAAGAGTTAAAAAGAGCTGGAATTGAAGATAACAACACAAGCATAAAAAGAGGACGATGGAGGTATCTTGGGCACGTTCTAAGAATGCCGAAGACAAGATAGCGCTATCAGACATGATACATGTACTGGAAAACAAAGGGAAAAAGACAACGAGGAAGACCAATTGGAAGCTATAGATGCACAATAAGGGATGAGGCAATCACCCAGGGCCTGGATTTGCCGAAATTGGAGGACGTGGCCAGGGACAGACAAGCGTGGCGTCGACTGCTCTCCGCCTTATGTACCTGGCGGTATAGGGAGAGAGTAAGTAAGTAAGTAAGTAAGTAAGTAAGTAAGTAAGTAAGTAAGTAAGTAAGTAAGACTGTTGTCACAAAACACTGTGTCATTTCAAGCCTGTACTGCTGTCAAAAATTCGTCAGGTAACTTTTTTTTATCATACTTATTGGTATTGTCAAATGTTTCCCCAACTAGGCTATCGAACTTAGTTTAAAGTCTACAGATTTTGCACGATGAATTGTATCAATTTGTCTTGACACATCAACATTTTTGTTTATTCCTGTTAGCTGTTTTCTAGAAAATTCCTTAATAACTACTTATTAAAAATCCCAGAGGGTGGTATCTACAGATTTTAAAAGGTTTACAACGGGGACAATATCGCTTCTAAAAGCAAGTCCGTTATTTATTTTTAACCGCGACATTTTTATGCTTATTAAACGCTTGTTTTGAGAACCTTTAGTGCAAAAAATGTGTTCACTATAGTACTAATTTCCTTTTACAAGTTCTGCCACTAAAACGTGTCTTCGGAGAGCTTTGAGGTAGGCCATATATATA